AGGCGCCCACTCGGTTCTTCTGTCGGCAAGTGACAGGTGAAACAGCCGCCCCACGCAACCAACACACATAATTCACAGATAGTTCTGAATCTGGCGCTGAATGCGCCCAATATTTAGCACGTACTCTCCACAGCTGTTCTCCTGACCCGCCGTTGCGATACGACTCTGGCCCCCGTTTCCTTTTTGGAGGGGGAGGGGGAGCCACCCCTGCCACAGCTACCTGGGACCAACCCCCCCTCCCCCCCCCCCAAAAAAAAAAAAAAAAAAAAAAAAAAAGAAATGCCCTGCTAGCAACATTGACGTTGAATGTTCAAAGCACTTAGGCGTATGGGAACTTGGAATGAATGACTGCGATTTTCGGTTGACGGACATTAAAACTGGGAAAGGGATTGAGTCACCAGAATTTCTGGTTTGTTTTACTGCTGCTGCTGTCAATTGAGACGATTTGATTTTGCAAAAGAGTAGTCCATTTCCATGGACACAGTGGCGGTGGAAATCTGTTCAGACGTTCTACACATCACCACGACAGAGTTTCCCTTTCATCCCCTGCCCTCATCAGACGAAACAACGGCCGCAGACCATGTACTAGGGAACCAACCACCCTCCCGGAAATCCGAATGAACCATCCTCAGAAGCCCGCCCTGTCCCTTCTTCCCCCTCATCATCCGGACCTGGAACCCCAACCCCCAGATGCCCCCCCTCCCAATGGCTGCACTCCCCTGCTCTCAACTGCTCTTGCACTCCGCCAACCCCAACCCCAGCCTCGGGAGATGGCACCCTCCGCCGGCTCCCTCCATCTCCCCACAAACACTCCCCCAAGTTCCCCCCTTGATCTTGTGCGTTCGGGCAACGGATGAGAGCAGAGAGTAGCGCTAGTTCACTCGACGGCACCCAGTGCCCTAACAACAGCCAGCGAGCGAGAGAGAGAGAGAGAGAGAGAGAGAGAGAGAGAGAGAGAGAGAGAGAGAGAGAGAGAGAGAGAGAGAGAGAGAGTAAAACACATTCCGGGAGGAACGAACAAGGCATGTGTAAAGATAAAAGTAGGCAGAGACTCAGAGAGAACATGTGAGACGGAGAAACTTACCTGTCTGTCGTTTGAACGACAGACTAAGTTACCTGTGTGTTGTTTGAGCGGCCATAGCTGCTGTGTTCGAAGGAGACAATTCAGTTTACTTCTGTGGGGCAAGTACGTTGAAGTCACAGGTGCTGTTCGGAATGAGAGACTCCTTAGGCAGGTATGTCGTGGCTGAGTCTGAACAGGCAGGGGAAAAAAACACTGCCTCAGCAAAAAAAACACGGGGCCATTCAGCTGCGTGCCCATCTCACATGACGTACTATTGTTTCGCCTTTTACTAAAGAATACCGTGGGCTGAGCACACTCAACATCTTACAGCAATTTTTAACGGCGCTTCGCTACGTCCAAGGGCTCAGCAAAGAAAAAAAGAGTGTTGGGAAATTACGAGGTTTTGCCAGTTACGGAAGAAATCGGGGGTGGGACACAGGGTCTGCAATGTCCCATAAATCTGAATTTTATAGTGCCGAGAGTGAAAGGAAAAAGGAAAGAAAGAAAATGCTTTCTCTACTGCAATGATTGGGGCAGGGTAGTCTAGGAGGTCGTGCTCAGAGTCTTCCTCCACAGAATGCACCTTACAGGTAAGGCGGTCACATTCTGAATGTTACTGTTTTTTTTTTTTCTTTGTTGTGTGTTTCTTATGAGTCCTCTGCCCTGCCAACGAGGCAGGGCGGAATCAGTGAATTGCTCAAGCTGATCCCTGAATTGCTCAAGCTGTCTGCCAATGAGGCAGGGCCGAATCCGTGAATTGCTCAAGCTGATCCGTGAATTGCTCAAGCTGTCTGTGATCTGTTCAAGCTGTGTTTCCTCAGAGGATTGAATGTATCCAGACATCCCACGGCCCGATCCGTGTGCCCGTTTTTTTCCCCTTCTATTCTCTTTTTGGAATCTGACAACCTGGCCACAGGAGATGCCCTCACTGAGGGCACACTCTTTTGTTCTCTCTGTGAGAGTACCAGAAAGAAAATGAAGTGGGACCCAGGCTCAGCAAAACTCGGAGCGCAGTGAAATTCAGGGTGGGCGAAAGCAGGCTGGGAGGTAGTACTGGTATAAGAGAGCCAAAAAAAAAAAAAAAAAAAAAACATGGGGCCATAATGCCCTCTGAAGGGTGCAGTCTCACACGTTCTCCAGATTCTGTTCTTCGGTATCCAGTTGCTTTTTTTTTTTTTTGTATTACGGGCAACCCCGTAGCCTTCACATCTGTGCTCAAGCCTCCAACGAGGGAACATGCGGGAGCTGCACCCACCAGCAGGTGCGATACCTGCTACAGCAGGTGGGCGATACCGGCCAGGGGTCAGCCGGTAGCATCAGGACCAAGCTTCTTCGATGGGCCAGTCATTGTGCCTCCCCTCCGGTCCCCTCCCCCTATAAACATCAGCAGTCTCCGCTCAATGGGGCTCGTTAGACACTCCTTGGGCGCGTAAATCCCCAGAGGAATTCATCGTTCCACTTATCCTCGGGGAAGAAATTGAAAAAAAAAAGTGAAAACATTTTCTCCGGGATTCCTCGGGGATTCCTCACCGAATCCTTGGGCTATAGCCATTTCGACGCGTTCCCCAAGGGACCTCCCGAGGTCCCTCGGAGGTCGAGCATCCGGAAGATCGGGGCGTCGACGGCAGGCCTCTCGACGACAAATCTCGAACTCTGCTGGTCCATTTCTGTTCGTGGAGGCATGTCGATGGACATCTTCAGACGGCAACGTTCGGCGTCATGGAATTGTCCGCCAACGGTCACCATTGGCGGCCTGCCGGCCTCCAAGACAACGGCCTGCCGGCCTCCAAGTCGTCGAGAAGGGGCTGTATTGCGTCGGTACCCTTGGCGCCGAGCGGGAAGACGCCCAACGGTCGGCAGATTCGAATACTTCAGGCAGCCCCCGCTCTCCCGATTGTGCAGTGTTTTCCGTGACGGGATACGTTACCCTTCGTTTGTCGATAGCTGCGATCGGCCGTTTGGCGCACTGTTCGTCGCCGTTTCCTCGGCATCCACCGTTGTCTTCTAGCTACTGTCGTCGTCCATGTGCCTTTCATGGCCGACGTCTTTCGGAGGCTGCCGTTGCTGGTGCTGGTCGTTCTCTTGCTCGTCGTTGTAGTTGTGTTCCACGTGTGCATACAGCGATGGCGCGAGTGACGACCGGAGTGCACGGCGTAGACGTCGACAACGAAGGTGTGCCCGCGAAGACGACAACGGTGGCGATCGTGTGACGGTGTGTCTGCTGCTTCACATGTGCACATGTACGTTCGGCGAGAAACTTTGCTGCCGGCATTTCCTTGGGGACGCGCACGCCGACGTGTGACGCCCAACCTCACGCCCAACACGACTTCCTAATCGGAGTGGGATGGGGGCCCGGAAGTGCGAAAAGGGGTGTGCCAAGGAGTTAAAGAAAGTGGGGGTGGAGTCCTAGGTCGGAACTGCGATCTCTTGTGGCGAGTTTCAAGGGTACAGGTGCAAAAAGGGGCGTACTCAAAAGGAGGGGGGGGGGGGGTAGCTGATGTCGTGCAGCATAAGGCAGATGGCATGCGCAGTGCATTCGAGGGTAAAATCCGGGCCACTGCTATCCCTGTACCCATAGGTTTAAACACTCTCGCATTCTCGAACGAAATTTCAACAAAATTGCCCCTGTCATCAAGTTTTAACTTTTAAGGTCAAATAGGCAAAGAAATCACCATCGCTGCTGATTCCGTCTTCGGGGTCGGTCGCGTGGTTCAGCCGGTTGTCGACGCGGCTCGCAACGAGCTTCGGGTCCCGCTGAGGCAGGCCGTACACGAAGGTTGGGCAATCGCTGCTCGGCTTCGGTTCGGGTCCGTCGGGTGTTTCCCGAGGCTCGGTGCGTCCGGTGATATCGACAACCTTCGCACGGCGGGCTGAACCAGTAGCAAGCTATGGAATTCCACAGTACTACTGTGTGTTGGTGATATGGAAAAAGGAGATGGAAGGGGAATAACGACGAAGCCGGGGGATATGAAATATTGTGTGTTGTAAGTGTTCGCGTAGTCAGGGCATCTGGGGTCGCTAGTTATGGCACGGTGAAAATCCCTAGGGCATAATCGGTCGTTTTCAGTTAGGCGGGGGAATTTCCGACATCTTAAATTTCCCCGCCGTCTGAGTTGTTCGTCTTCCTAGTACTCACGATATTCCGGGTCCCTCAAACTCTTGTACTCGGATGTCTTGGAAAGAGACCTTGCAGCCATGTCTGTTTAGTAAGCCGCCTCCCCCACCTCCTTACACGTGGTTAAGGCTGTTTTCCGCAGGCGAGTGCGTACGTGGCAACTCGGGATCGTGGACGTACCTAGGCGTGCGTGTAAGAAGCGGTCGGTTGGTTCCGTGTGCCAATCGCATTCAGCCGTAAGTGCAATTATCCTACCGATCACTACGTGCCATACATGTGACACAAAAAGGAGGGGATAATCGA